ATTAGTAACTTTTTTAGGGAGTAATGCAACATTGTAATATTTGCAATATTGCAATAAAGTAACTTTCCCCAACGCTGGTTACAGCAATCACCAGCAGTTTTCTGCGTGACCAGCATGTTTAAGCCAGCCAAACTGGTCAAATTAAAAAGTCATCTTCAAATCCCCTTCAACAAGGCAGTTGTGAGGTAAGAATATCTCAAGTTGTTTGTTTAATATATGTACTCACAGTTTATTATTGCATAATAGTTTACCTGTGTAGTTATTTATTTATTTTAGGCTGTACTATACATCTTTACAACCAATTATTGGTGTGATTATTTAGTTGTTCAATAAGGAACAAGGAGGGGTTTTTTGTGCCATTTACAGGGAGAATATTCTTATTTTTTGTTGTTTTCCAGTACATCTTGTATTGGGAGCACCCTTTGATTTAACATCTGTAAGTAGCTATCAGTTAAAGTAATTTATTTATGATGTTGTAGCAGTTGATATTTAAAGATTTCTCTATGTTTGTATCTTCCAGTGTGGCATTCCAGTCATACGGAGATGGTGGACTTCTTCTTGAGAACTTTGGAGTTTTCTCTGAAAGGTACTGGACATTTCCTCCAGCCCAACATTACATTTACTCCCCCTTCTGACCAATTTGAATTTAACCAAGATACATGTATATTACAGTGCAGACACCCTACAAGAGGCCCTTCCAATTGGATAACAGGCTACGCTTGAGAGGTATGTCTCAATCTCTCAATCTCTCTCTCTCTCTCTCTCTCTATATATATATATATATACACACACACACGCACACACACACACACACATTAATAAGAAATATTAAAGTTACATTTTCCTTTAATATTCTGTAATGAAGGAGATCCCAGTAATCGCAGACAGAAGTTGTGAAATGGCTCCATTATTACAGACATCTGCTCAGGGGGCCAGTGGAAGAGCCTCTTTTCCTTATAATGGAGGAAGAGGACAAGGAAAAGGCCCTCAGCATTCTCCTGGAACAATCAGAAGCTTCCAGAGTGCCCTTCATAATTCATCTTGTGTTCAGGGGAATTATTTTTGTAGGATTGTCATAACAAAATGAGTTGTTCATGTGATTGTAATGCTCTCTTGGCGGGCCTTCCCGCATGTAGCCAAAAAAAAGCTCACGTTACTCCTCTCCTCATCAGTTTACACTGGCTACCAGTAGCCGCTCGCATCAAATTCAAGGTACTGATGCTTGCCTACAAGACAACCACTGGTGCGGCACCAATATACCTAATCTCTCTAGCTCAAACTTATGCGCCCTCCAGAAGCTTGCGTTCTGCAAGTGAACGGCGCCTTGTGGTGCCATCCCAAAGAGGCACAAAATCACTCTCACGGACCTTTTCTTGGACTGTGCCCGGCTGGTGGAATGACCTGCCTATCTCGATTCAAACAGCCATTTTCACATCTAAACATCTAAAGACACATCTTTTTCGCCAGCACCTGACCAACTAATACTATCAGAATCCGAATTAGCTTTATTCGCCAGGTGTACGCAAACACACTAGGAATTTGTTATGTTTTTTTTTTTTTATCAGGTGCTCCTGGTACATACACACATGCATACATACATACATACACATCTGACATGAGAACAGAAAAAAAAAAATTCTAGGTATCACTTACCTATTCTATTGCATTCTTCTTCAAGCAATGCCATAGAAGAACCATTTTTGGTTCCACAAAGAACCATTCAGTCAAAGGTATTTTAAAGAACCATCTCTTTCTTAACTTTTTAGAATCTGAAGAACCTTCTTTCGCCAACAAAGAACCTTTTGTGAAACAGAAAGGTTCTTCAGATGTTAAAGGTTCTTTATGGAACCATTTAGACAAAAAGGTTCTTCTATGGCATCATGAAGCACCTTTATTTTTAAGAGTGTACTGTGCTAGACTAATTGAGACTTCTCATGGCACTTGTATACTGTTGTTGTTCTCTCGTTGGTCTGATTGCTTCTATTGTTCTCATTTGTAAGTCGCTTTGGATAAAAGCGTCTGCTAAATGATTAAATGTAAATGTTTGATACGTTTTAATTTGAATTTATGCAAGATTGTCATGACAAAATGTTCCCAAGAGTGAATTGTTCATTTTGTAAATTTTCATGCTGGAATGTCATGACAAAATGTGTGTGTGTGTGTGTGTGTGTTTTATTGAAATTTTTCGTTTTCATATAGAAAAATGAAAATATGTTCTTGACTTTGAAATAAACATTTATTTTGAATCTTGTGATTAAAGTATATTTCATATAAAATGCCCAGAAGTTTCAAACATTATTTTTTAATATAACAGGAATTAACTCGCATAATACAATTAAATGAATAACTGTATAGACCTACAACTAAATTACACAAGATTAATGTTTATAAAATGCTTAATATATCATTATAAAATGCATTCATGCATAAAGTATGACGTGTCATGTGTAATAAAAGCAAATTACCCCTTAAAAACCGCAAAGGTCTTTGTTTACATTTTCAAACTTTACAGTCAGAGAAAGTCCATGATGGCTGAATAACAATCAATCAACTGTTCTCAGCTATAAAGTGTCCCGATATAAAATAAAAAATAGGCTACTATGTCTTAATGAACTTATATATGTGAGTCAGTGTTGCTCTTGAGTGAAGTCAGTTTTATTTATATAGTGTTTTCAAAATATATTTCATATGTAAAAAAAAAGGTCATTAAAATAATATTACAGTGTATATATAACAGTAATGATAGAATAAACAGTTTGTATTGGAAATATAAACCAAAAGAGGACATAATATCACTAAATAATAATAATAAAAATGACAATGTGTTTTTACAATATTTGATGTAGTGTACTTGTGTATTATAAGAGAACTTGTTTGTGAGATATGATTCCTAGGCATGAATCAAATGTACGGTGGTTCCTCCTCGTAGTCCATAGTGACTCACTGTCTTGCTCACATCCAGATGATTTCCTAAAAATAAATAAGGTTAGCAATTAATGATATGCAGGCCCACTCATCAAACTAAAGTTTTTAATACATAAAAGTTGTTAGTAGCTGCTTTTGTGGTTCATATTACATGCCAATCCATTTCATGATTCAATACAAATGACACGGTCTGCATCAGATCAACCTCAAGAACAATGAATGAATGCTTTGTTTACCTTCATAAACCAGCGACATTTTCTCTGGTTTCTTCCCTGCCCATTCACAGGCCACCTTTAGTAAAACGGAGATACGT